TTATCATGGACAACTTGCACGCGCAGACCACGGACGAGTTCAAGGAGTATCTTGCGAAGCACTGCAACACTCTCGCCTGGTATGGCCCTTCGGAGTGCACGGACGAGGTGCAGCCAGTTGATGCAGGAGCCGGACGATTTCTCAAGGTGGAAGTCGGGAGGCAGATGGACACATGGCTCGAGCAGTCGGACAACCTCGAGAGATGGGAAACCGCGTCGGTGACAGCTTCTGATCGGCGCGTCCTGATCACTCAGTGGATGGGAGCGGCCATGGCAAGACTCAACAGCCAACAGGCGTACCGATACCGTCTTTTCGAAAAGTGCGGGATGGCCATGACCGGGGACGGCTCGGGCGATGATCGAATCACCTTGGAGGGTTTGGACAAGCCGTATACCTTCGCTAACGATGAAGACAGTAGCGACGACGAACAAGGTTCGGAGAACGGCAACGATGAGCCTGAGGGGCGGGCGGAGGAGGGCGATGGAGGACCTGAGACGCTCATGGAGGGCGTTGACTCCAGCGAAGAAGACGACGGCGGTAAGTTTTTTTTGCACAAAACCAACTCTTCATTTTCTTTTTGTTGATGTCGATGTCCTTCATGTTGACGTTAGCTTGTTTCCACGCACGCCTGCACTCAAACTATGATAAGTTCAGGTTGAGTTTCGCGACGTGACACCCTAACTTCTTGTGTTTCCCGTTGCCTTGTTCGCAGACATCTCTCAACCCCAGACCGACGAGCTAGCTCTTCTGGACGACGACGACAGCATGGACCCACAAGACCCGGAGGATGAGATACAGGGAATGGAGATACCGGCAGCCTTTCGTATTTAAGAAGCTAAACCCGTTGCACTTGACAGATTGCATTTGCGGCGTGGAGTGCTCGTTAGGCTGGGCATGGGGTGGTTTGGAGGGCTGATCACTCAACAATCTCAGAGGGACACTCGCCACCTGTACGACTACTGTTGCAGCTGGAGCTAGACCAGAGTACGCGCGAGATGAAGTTGCCCTTAGACAAGTACAGCGGAGATTCGGATGCGGCTGTAGGCTCCTGGGTTTTGCTTGAGAGCGTTAGTAGATCGGGGAGGGTACGCAGGACCAACGTCACCCTTGTGGACCAAGAAGGTTGACAGTTGCTGCTCCATGCCTTGGTATTTTCTTATATCGACAGCAGTACTAGTGTTGCTCATGGTTGACAGCCGACAATATAGCAAATGATTTTAAAATACTGTAAGAACAAGAACACCTCCTTCTGGAGAAGACTGGACGACGAAATAAGAACTTGGCAAATAAGAACTGGTGCTCGGGTTGGGGCAGCCAATAAGAACTGAGCCTCGCTCAATATAGGAGGTTTTTAAGTGCGGGCCGGCACTATGTCCGGAATATACTCTGGGCGTACCACCAGACGACAGCCACCGACATCACGTACCCAACAGCAGTAACACCCCAGTCTCGTCATGACTCCGCCTCAAGGGTTGTGCCATGTACTCGGGTTACATACCTATCTATCGCAAAAAGAATGGTGCTTTGAGGAGGTCAAACTCAAATTTGTTGTTGGATCCCGTGGATGGTGGCAGCATCCGTAGTCACGCTTGTGCACGGCGGTGGGTACACTTTCACGAGGTTGGCATGTTGCAACGAAACGTCGACTGTTGTATCTCCTAAACCTCATGTACCCACCTATTTCGAGAGGAATTAGTTTATTTGGTACAGAGACACATGATAATGACGAGGTCAAATTCAAAGCTTGTTGTTGGATCCCGCGGGTGATGGTCAGCAATCACGGGCACGTGTGGGTGTTCGTGTGTTTGGATACGGACTGGTTAGATCTACCGGCAACAACAGAGGGCACGCAGATGGGGCATATGTACACCTTGAAATGGTTGCATGTGCGGGGACCCCTCGAACTCCAAAGAGGGCTTCGCTTCTCCCTACTCCCCTTGCGTGTCTAATACACGAGATAAAACGTCTTCCCCTTTCAAGTATATACGAACACACTAGTGTCAGTCCCTCAAGGCAGAGTCCAAGAGGAATGTCAGGCGCAAGGATGGGGGTGACTCCTCCAGCGACTCTGCGGCGGAAGACAGAAAGAGGTCAAGAGAAGAGCTCGTGGCCCTGAGGACCCAAGTTAGGTCGCTGACGGATCAGATGAGCCAGCTAATGTCGCTAGTGGAAGATACCATGAAGGCAAGCAAGAAGGAGCTGGCCCCATGGATGGTGCCGCTGATCGCAGCAATGCTAGGGAGAGCGCCGTCGCGGAGTCCATGAACGCCANGCGGCGGAAGACAGAAAGAGGTCAAGAGAAGAGCTCGTGGCCCTGAGGACCCAAGTTAGGTCGCTGACGGATCAGATGAGCCAGCTAATGTCGCTAGTGGAAGATACCATGAAGGCAAGCAAGAAGGAGCTGGCCCCATGGATGGTGCCGCTGATCGCAGCAATGCTAGGGAGAGCGCCGTCGCGGAGTCCATGAACGCCAAAGGAGGGGCACCGTGGACCGGGAGTGCGCAGGACGGGAGGTACTTGCGCGAACCTGTTCGAGAGTCTGGCCCGTCAAGGCGACACAGCGGCGAAGCAGGGGGCTTTGTCCCCCAAGAGGTGAGAGTAGCCGCTGCTCACAGCCAAGGCTATAGTAGTGCCATGGGAGATGGTGGTGCTGCTGTTGGCTTTGGATACGGAGCCACAACCCCAGCGACGGGGTACCAAAGTGTGCGGTACACTTCTCCTCCGTTCAGCGGGAAATCGAAATATCTCAACGAATGGCTAATTGATTTCCGCATGGCAGCTAATGGATCAAACCTGTTGGAACAATTTGAAGAAAGCGAGAGCTTGGAGATTCTCGTCAACAGCGGAAAGAGCAAGTTTTCGCTGTCACAGCAGCACCGGAGCGAGCAAGTAGAGCTCGCACTCCACGCGTGGAACTTCCTGTCCCCCGCGTTGAAAGAAAAAGATCGGAAAATCATGAAGACGGCAGAGACGCCCCAGGGAGCTCTTCGTGAGCACAACACCATACACGACCCTGAATCATCTGTACAGCCGTCAGAGGACCTCAAGTCCATGACGTCGACCAAGATCTCTAGAGGTGAAAACCTTCAAAACGCCCTAAATGAGATGCTCCAAACCGCAAAGTCCTTCACCGAGGAAGGACTAACTGTCAACGAAACGTTCGTTCTTCACCTCTTCCTGGATGCCCTTTCGGACGAGTATGCCATGACAAAGCACAACCTGCGACACGCGAAGGAGTTGACGCGGACCGGTGTGCTAAAGGAAGCAATGATCGAATAACAGGCGATCAAGGACAAGCTGGAGCAGGGGAAAGGAAAAGGGGCGAAGGGCGAAGAGCAAGTGTACTTCGCCGACGGTGAGGGCCGCAGGGAGCGGTACTCAAGTAGGAGTCAGGGGCAAGGTCGTGGTCGTGGCGGGGGTCGTGGCCGCAGCAGCAGCCGTGGCCGCGGCGTCGGTGGTCGCGGCGGCGGCGTCGGCGGTCGCGGCGGCCGCTCAGGCGGATCCGGAGGAGTCAAGGAGAGCAAGGGAAGCAGCAGTGGAGGCGCCGATGGCGGCGGTGGCGGGGACTATGACTTCCCGGGCCGGTGTTTTAGGTGTGGACATCGTGGACATCAAGCGATCGCACGCTAACCGAAGCTGGAACCGTAATCTCCACCCGCAATTTCACCTGGCGCCACGTGCCCGCTGCATCAACCGCTCCCCCGCAGCTGCTACCTCTCGCAGATGACGAGGAGGGCGGGGAGGGCGAGAGCAAAGCGGATGCATCACGCCAAAGGTGGCGGGGGGAGAGAGACTCAGAGAGTGAGTCCGACCTCGACGTGATGGAGGCTCGTGGGCCAGGGCAAGCGACGCCGTTTGTGCGCGAGGAGGCGCCGACGGCACCCGGCAACGGGATTCCGGGGGACGGAGGCAGCGTTCCCCCGTCGCCCCCTTCCGGAAGGGGCGACTTCGGCGGAGGCAGTGACAGCCCCACCGACAGCAGCAGCAGCAGCAGCAGCAGCAGCAGCAGCCCGAGCAGCAGCAGCAG